AGTTCTAAAATAACTCAAAATTGGCTGATACAGACTGAAGATAAACTCAGGAAATATCAGATCACCTTAGTGTGACCAAGAGGTTAGTTAAACGGCTTCGTAATGCAGTCCTAGCCGTTTACCATGGTTCGATTCCCGCGATGGAGATTTTGGAAAAAGACCGTTCATGTGGCTCTCAGACAGTGGTACTTGAGTGGTACAGTTACAGACATTGGGATCTCACCGCGTAAGGTTACCATAGTTAGCTGCCAACCTCTGTTTTGGAATCCATATACTTTTTTGGTCGGCTCTGTGGCTAAGTCGATGCGAACGCTTCGCTTCGAAATGCCGGGATGCCGGGTTCGATCCCAGTTGCGGGCAATGCGCCTTGCGTTGGTTTTTGACAGTGGTATCAAGAAAGCCGACCGTCCAGCAAGTAATGGCAAACTACTGGACGTAAATCTACCAAGAGAAACCACACAACAGCCAGGGGCTGTTAGGGTTGGTTCTGCAACGTCCTGTAAAGGATACGCAACTAACTTTATTATTATTATACTTTTTTGGGAAGGAGGGGGGAGGGGTTGAGTATAGCCCAACCTGAGGGAGGGAGTGGTAAGGGAATGGTTAAGTATAGCCTAACCTGGGGGAGGGGGTAGTAAGGGAATGGTTAAGTATAGCCTAACCTGATGGTTGGGTTATAGTAGAGCCTAACCCGATGGGGAAAAAAAGCACAGAAAAAAGGCGGTGGGGGGAGCGGAACCCCTAGAAGACGTCCATACGCCGGCTGACCCACAACATTATTATAATCTCCTTATTTCTACACGCATGCACCTGTACGTAAATACGCACGCACGTGTAAATGTTGAATGTTAAATTAAGCATCGGCATCACACAGCGCTCAGGACATTTTTATAAGTGATCCGTCCCTATCTTCAGCAGCAAACGTAAATTTCTAGTTCTGATGGTACCAGTCTGTCTGTATTTCAGTCCTTGCCTTTAACTTGTGTGTCGAGCCTCAGCCAGGTCCCATGGTCACTCTTATACACGTATACATTAGTCTCTAACCAAATCTTTTTAACACTGGAACCATTCAACACTGTTTTATTAACGTTTGCATTTTACATATACGTTAATTACGCGTAAATTAAACGCATATAGAATCGCAAGCTAGCTTGGTTTGGGCACGCAGTGAGTCATTATTCGACTGCAAAGACTGTACTTCAAGGAACAGGGGGGGGGGGGGGGGTTGGGGATAGTCGAAGAAGAGGATGGCGAAGAAGAATCTAGAATGACAACATCAAGAAATGGACAAGACTGTTATCATACGCTTAGCGCAGTTGATAGGAGGCTCGCTTTCAAATTCAGCTCTAGCTGCGACTCGCTGCAGCCCACGGTCGTTTGAAACCAGGCGGTTCCTGGGGTTCACCCAGCCTCTAGGTAATAGATACCAGAGTTAACACTGTGGGCTAAATGGAGAAACGTCGCTGAGCTACGGAGTTGCGTACAGAAGGCGACACCAGCGGAATGTATCAGCTGTCCGTACTGGTGGCAGAGCACTTACGGTTTATAACCACGTGCAATGACGCTGGTTCACATCTCCAGACTTATTTATCAAGCGGAAGACACAGAAAGATGTCGGGTTTTATGTGCTAGTGCTTCCATCAATACACATCCACGACCCTAATGGTTCGAGGGTTATGTTATGTTAGAATCGCAAATAACAGATGCATTTTGTTGTTGTTTGTTTTAGTATTAAGAAGCCATGAGTTGTTAACCCTTAGGCTCGGTATTATGGATATCGCAACCTTTCGGCCTTGATTCCATTGTAAACACCGTAAATCTGGGAGAAATGTGGCTTTTCTGCCCACCCCCTGGAGTGAACCCGGACCACAAGGAGTTCGTCACCCGGTCATCGCGCAATCCAGTTTAGCCAACTACGCTAGAGAGCATTGTTGTGATAAGCTGGGTGGATCACTTGAAGATGTAAGCTAGAATCCTTCCACGTTATTTTTCACATAAATCAAGTGAACTGCCAGAAACCCAATTACCGCTTTGTTAGAATCAATGTCCTAATTAAGCAGGTACACGGGAAGTGGCAGAATTCACACATTACAATATGTCGCTGTGGTCCCTCTATATTTACTGACGGTTTTCTTTCGTTACAAGGCATCTGGTTGTTACTGTACGTGTCTGGCAAAGATGTCTACACTGTTTATGTTGCTGTGGGTGACCATAGCCGGACTTCTTGCAGTCACTATCGCCCAGAAGACGTTTAATACCAGCGGTTGTAAGTGTTCTGTGTGTGTTTTCCTTTTCTTATTCTCCCTGCCTTGTGACGCTAGTCATTCTGTCTCTTTGGCGAAGTGGTTACGGCCGATTGTTTGCTTTCTGAGGGTCAGAAATCCAAGTCTGACCTTTTGTTCGCAGTTCAGGGGTTTCGTGGAGGTCGTTGCTGGTGCTACAGAATGTCGTGTTGTGTGTGATGCTTCTAGCTGATAAATATTTCGCTTTGAGCATAGTTATGGCTGCCCTGGATAAAACAGCATGCAACAAAATCGACTCTACCGGCATTAAGGGACTGTTTTATGTCATGTCTATTTTCTGTTGATCATTGATGATGCAAATATGCTTCGATGTCATTTATGACTAAACTGTTTCAACATCCCCTCTCTCTCTCTCTCTCTCTCTCTCTCTCTCTCTCTCTCTCTCTCTCTCTCTCTTCTCTCTCTCTCTCTCTCTCTCTCTCTCTCTCTCTCTCTCTCTCTCTCTCTCTCTCGCTACGTCTTCACCTGCGTCTTTTCCCATTATTTAGGTTTTCATGTTCCCTGCATGGTAACTATAGCTTTCAATTGTTATGTTGTCTAGTGTGTCCTTCTAGCTTTCTACTTCTTTTTATGAGTGTCGAATGTCGGGTTACCTGGTTTTGTGCTGCCATTTAGCCTTTTAGGGCTACGTGTTTAGGAAATCAAGTGCCTTTTGGACAATGTCTTAGTCATTGATGTGTACTACACTCTAGAGCTGTGTCTGCCCCCTCCTTCCCCAATCAATCATTCCTTTGGATCATCCAAGATTATAGTCGTGTTGATATACATATGTCTGTGTGTGTGTGTGTGTGTGTGTGTGTGTATTCCTCTTACAGCCCATGCCGTGCGGCACTGGTAGTCTGGCCAATCCACAACCTTCTGCCTCGTGTATTAGCAATCAATTTGACACAGACGATCTTCTTTGCCATGATGTGAAACTGCCCAGCATCTTCTCTGTCGGTCTCACCCTGTCTAGTTTTCTCTTCCAACCTTCCCACCGCCACAGTGTACTCCCATTTTCTTCTTCTCCTAACATGACCAAAGCATATAGATTGTCTTGTATCTGGTTTATCTTTTTTTTTTCTGATATGGGGCAATTAGTTTTCTTTGCCAGCCGGTTTCTTTCAAGACATTTTCATTGCTATTTTTATACATCAGAGTATTTTTATCATTGGTAAATAAAACCACATTTCCACATCTTCCAGCCGATTTTTTTACTAATTGTCCAATTTGTCTATGATTTAATTCCGTATATCAGGATATGTTTAATATAGTTCTTGACAATTCTCTATCTCGTCTTAATTGACAAAGACAAACTGCATAGAATACACTTCACTCCTATCTAACGCCTTGCTTAATGTTTGTATACATAGAGATATACATCATTTATAAAGTCTAGAAATTTCGATATACTGAAGAAGACACCGCGTAAACGGATATTTCATGGGCGACTGTTTCTATACTACTAGAAGATTACTCACTTGCTCTGAGAACTTTGAAATGTTGCTAAAAGCCTAGGGTTTAGTCTTAAGCCAAAGAGACGTGGAAGCAAGTGAAAAGTATTAAATTATTCACCTCAAGAAATCCTGCATGTCTGATTTAGGGAGAACAGTATTTAAAAGCATAGTTTCTGTGAGACAGCACAAGCATCATTAGCAGGAAGTCGGGCACAAGATATTCGAGAGACTGTGGACATCAAAATACTCGAGTCGGGGAATTGACAAGGCCATTGGGGCGAGTCTGATGGGAGCTAGCTATGTTGTGATGTGCTACATGATTATGATGAAGACTCTACATGACTATGATGAAGACTGCAAATAATTGTAATTGCCAATCGCCTATTCTTTTTTAAAGAAGTTCAGATAAACTGAATCACACAGAAAGTTACCAATGCATTACACTTAAGAGAAAATAACGAATTGTGTGATACGCATAAAACATGGCATTCAAATTACAGTATTTTTCGTTAATAAGTAGATATTTCCCCCAAAATTTGTTCAATTTAAATATGGGGGGTGGCCTTATACAAAGAATGAAAGAATGTTGCAGTTAAATATATAAATAAATTTACACTGGTATCCTCATCCACTATCTGGTTCCCAGTCTCTCCTCCCTGTTGGCCCCTGGTATGGTGCACCCACTACCCACAACTCCCCCCTCAGAAGCTCCCACGCCGGACATCGTCCCTTCCACCTGGTCCATCAGCCCCCCACCTGGCTACTCAGATAGAGCCCTTCCTCTAAATCAGAGTTGTTCTGTTTGGTGTTTACAATATTTATTTCTCTATTTTGGCATTTTTAAAAGAATACGCGTCATCGTATACACGTAGGTCCCTTGTATTAGAACATTGCCGGTATTTTAAACAAAGAGAACAAATCCTTTCATTAATACTAGTCGCGACAGCTCAGTGGCTAGACACTTGTGTGTGGGTGTGTAAGGTCTAGGGTTCATGCTGGAGATTTTTTAACTGACAGTTCTCAGGTCGATCCACCCTAAAATGGGCACCTGTAAATGAGTAAATGAAATGGGAAGCACATATGACCGACATGGCGTTGATCACATTAACCAACAAGTGTCGATTTGTTTGTACAAATATAGGCCTAGCAATTAGCATTCGCATTTTGACCCAATGACTTTAAAAGGTCGTTTATTATTCCCTTTCCCCTCTCCCATTGTTATACAGATGCTACACTAATACTGTTTTTATTTCTACTGAAGCATCTGGTCAACCCTGCGGACGCGCACACCACCACTGCTTGTCTACAGCTAGATGCTACAGGAGGAAGGCCGTCTGTCATTGTGATGCTCCATTGTATGGGAACGGACAAATCGGCTGTTTCAGACATGGAGACGCTGTAGCTCTTCTCCAACTGGACCCAAATCTGAGAACTTTCAACAACGATTACTTAAGTATAGCCACTCCGTGTCGCTACAAGGTGGTCCATTACTCTATGGGAACCTCCAATGGCACCAGAGCTAGCGCCGAAGTATACGCCAAAAACGGCCTGACTCCCAAGGGAGAATACTACGTCAAAAATGTGCTTGTCGTTATTTCTGTAATGACTCACAGCAAAGTTGGCAAACACAGCGTTCTTCTTGAAGGCAACGCAACAGACGGCAACTACACTTTTGTGACCACAGAAATGGAAGATTCCATGACCGAGACGTCACTGAAGCAACACCTGGACTTTACGCCATTCTTTATATCTGTGACCGTTGATGAAGTCGATAACTTTATCACTGCTAGGGCAGAAGGTGTTGGTTTAACAGTTAGATTCAGACCCGCTGCAATTGGACAAGATGACCAGAAGATGCGTCCCGGAGTTACAATGGTCGTTGACAAAGAAGTCCTTCATGCTGTTAAGTTTCTAAACGGGACGCTATCTTCCTCTCCACATGGGGTCAGAGCTTCGGAACAAGCAAAGCAACTGGGTCTGGATGTCCAAATGTATACTTCCTCCCTAGCAATACTAAGTACTCCCGCTCTCATCATGGACGACCCAACGTGCCAAGATGCTACCGTAGTGTACAAAAATATTTGCACCGCCGCCGACAGAGTACGCCTACTTCCAACGTGTACTTCTCTGTACTCGGACAAAGACTTTGTCAGCTGCATCAGAGCTAAGTGGATGGAGAACAGAGAAGTCGCAGGCCACACGTTGTTGTTTCGGTACTGCCTGCAGGCGTTTTGCCTAGGCCTGGTCAATGTCTGTGAGGTTATGGTAGAGCGTATTCGGGGAGCCCAATGTCCACTGCCTGCGGCTCTCCAGAACTTCCAATGTTCGCTTGAAAATCTGCGTGGCAATTAATTGTTTGCTTTGTAACAGAATCTGTGGTATTCTTGTAGCTGCCCCATCTGCTTAAACCACTGGTCTCCAGGCGACTATTAAACGTCCAATAAGTTTTTTTTTTTTTATAAATTAGACAAAAGAAGCTGAATCAATAGATTGCATCATTTTTTTTTACCTGACATATTTCGCTGCATGTCGTCATGTTTTTTCTGCAGTCAAAACACCCCCCCCCCCTTTTTTCTCCCCCAAAGTGTGTCATTTACAGAGCGTTGTAGAACCAACCCCATCATTATTTGGGCTGTTGTGGTTTTTCTAGGCAAATTTACGTTCAGTAGTTTGCCATTGTTCTAAAGGTCGGTTCTCGACACCACTTTTGAAATGAAGGCAATGCGGTCTGCTGCCAAAACGCCTGAAGCTGGGATCACACCCCGCACCCTGGTATTTCTATGCACATTAGCAACGCCTAAGCCACAGACTACGACTACTGTAGCACAATTAAGTAATAAGAAGCAAAGAAATGAATCCTTTAAGCTAAAATTTAAAAAAATAAAAAGACTATTGCATTGAACATTGTTATTGTTTATAACTTAACTGTAATAACATCAAGGACTTTATATATGTCATCATCATCGTGTAGCAGGTCCTTTGCAGAACGTTGCTCTCATCACAGTCTGCCTGAAAGAAACTCGGTCTCTCGCCAGTTACCTCGCCTCATGAACTTTCAAACGCAAGGAGTTACTTATATCCTGCACCCATCTTCGTGTCGGTCGGCACCTGCCCCTCCTTCCTGGTACCATGTCTTCTGCTATAATTTTTTTTCAGATCCGTCGTGGCGCTTGATATGACCAAAATATTTCAGCTTTCGAGAAAGGACGCTGTTTATTAGCCAATCTTCCTTGATGTTCAGCTCTTTTAAGATGTCAATATTTCTCATCTTCTCTGTCCAAGATATTCTGAGAATCTTTCTATAGCATTTCAGCTCAAAAGCCCCTACTCTCCTTCTTAAGGACTGAGAGGTAGTCCACGGCTCACATCCGTATGTAGCCCCAGGGAAGATACATGCTCTCAAAATTCTAATTTTTATCTCCTTGCTGGTGCTTAACCATAGACTTTTAAGGCTGTTCAATCTTTGCATTGCTATGGCCATCCTCCTTTTATTTTCTGTCGGACAGTCTCCATTGTTGTTTATTACAGAGCTTAGATATTCAAAGTTTGTGACATTTTCAATTTCTTCTTCATTTATTGTTATTTTTGGGTGACAGTCAGTTTTATCTGTGGACATTATTTTTTTTTTAAATTCAAGAACAGATTTTGATCTTCACTGTGCTTTTGGACGGACAATATTAAATTTTCGATTCCCTTTACGCTGTTCGAAAGGAGGACTGTGTCATCTGCGTAGCGGAGTTCCGGAAAAGGGTTGCCACCAATTTTATCATAACTGCCACAAGTCTGGTCATTTTTGACATTTCTTATTATAATATATTATATATTTATATATATATTTAAAATGTTAAAAAAAAATTGGTAGTGCATCGTTTATTGGACGTTGCAGAACCAAGCTTATCATTTGGAACTTTGTGATTTCACTAGACAAGTTTACTTTCAGTAAGTGCCACTTATTACTGATCCGTCAGCTCTGGATACTACGGCCGAAACAAACACAAGGCGGTCAGCTGTCAAATTGCCGGCAGCTAATATAGAATCCGCCCCCCCCCCCTGGAAGTCTCAATCGCGTTTACGTTACTATAAAGGAAGAGGCATAGGCAACAAACAGAAAATTACGATACTGAGTATATAATAGAAACCTCAGCATACAAAAGAATGGGTTGCATATTATCGTGGATGAAAATAAATAAATATATATATATATATATATATATATATATATATATATATATATATATATATATATATATATATATAGAGAGAGAGAGAGAGAGAGAGAGAGAGAGAGAGAGTTGGTTGAATGTCATAAAAGGCTACTGAAATATCATTATACATTGAAATCTGGCTTCATTCGAATAAAGGTTCTAAAAATATCGATATACAGGGAAATATGGTACATTTAATCGAAGACTACAAATATCAGTATGCAGAAGTATGGGCTTGGTTTCACGATAGGCTTCAAAAATGGGATGTAGAGAAGACAGGACTGCATTTTGTGGCTAAAATTGTAAACTAATTTAAGGATGCTGGAAATGAAACGGCTGACAGAAGAAATTCAGAAACAGAGACAAGTCAAATGTGTCGGCCATTTAAGCACTGTCATAACCCAGGGGGAAAGATCTGCTTGTGTTGGGCTTATACTCCCACGTAACCTTTTTTTTAGTATCCTTGCACTGTCATTCCTGGCATTGCACACTAAAGAGATTTTGTTTTCAGTCCAACAGAAAAATTGTGTTACCACCCCCCCCTTTATTTAATAACGCTAAATTTGTACGTATATTCGCATGGGATTCAGACACTGCCGCTAGAACACGAACAGGTTTCAATAACCCGCAAATTGTATTTCTGGCCAGGATTGTTGTTTTGAAGAAAGTGCTAGCACGCATAAAAAACAGAGCGCATTTAGGGAGAGGAAAAAAAGTTGCTTAGTTATGCAGTTGTCAAAGGGTTGTTTTGTTACCGTTTTAACAAACATTGTCACATGAAAGAGACTGTGGATCAGAACAGAGCTGGAACCGGCATGTCAAAATGTATAGTTTTTAGTACGACGTCTCCAGGTACACGACCCACTTAAAAACTGGAAATGCAAGGCGAAATTAGTATAACGAATTGATCTGTTTCAACCTGATTTTGAGGGTCCTGGTCAGACATCGCACAGGCGCGACAGCCTGAAGAAGATTTCGTTTTCAAACGGCATTCGCCTTTAAAACAAAAACGACATTAGGAGTCGCAGGAGGTGCGGGGAGGGCGGGGGGGCGAGGCGGGGGGAGAAGAGAACCAACCCCTAATATAATTTTTTCCTAGAAGCCGGTTAAGGAGGCATGAATTGGGCGGCTCGCGGGGCGTTGCATACTAAGGTGCCTCAGGGGACAGGAGTCCTTTTTTTAATGCAGCAGTAATACTAATGTTAGTCGTGGTGTAGGTGGCTAGTTTAGTTAAGGTATTATCTACACGAAATTTCCCACGCCTTCAGGCATATGGCCACAGTATAGAAGCCTAGAACTCCCTATATTATAGAGCATCAGTAGAGTGTGCATGTTCTTCAAACATCAAGCTGGCTGGCTCCGTTTACTTGGCACAGGACTTTGCCTAGCGACCCTTTAAGGAAAGAAGGTCGATCTGGTTTCATTTCTGAAGAAGACGGCTAGTCAGACCGAAACGCCACGGACATTATGGATCAGCAAAGCTGAGCGAGGGGGGGGGGGGAGGGTAGCCGCTATAGCCAACGGCGGGCTCCTTTATTAGTTTAGGTGGGTATTATTATTATTCTTATTACGTTTTTGCAATGCCAAATAAATATCAGCTAAATATTTTAATATATTAATATGTTATACCATCAAATGACTTCAAAAGAGAACGTCACTGCATGGAACATGATATGATGAGAGGCACCATAACCACCTTGCAAAAGTCCTTTGCGGGACTTTTTTTTTTTGGGGCGGGTGGGGGGGGGGGCGGGCTTGGGGGGGGGTGGGGGGGGGTCTGTGGTTGAGCCAATGTCTCACTTAACTCCAAGTTTTCCAGAGGCCTCTATGTTCATGAGGGCGCCACCGTGTGGCCGAGAGGACTAGGACGCTCGCACGTGCGGATCTGAACAGCACGAGGAGTACGCTCCCTGGCCGCGAAGACGGACTGTTCTTCTTCAAAAATGACATGGGCTCCCGGGTAGACCCTAGCCTTGAAATGTGTACTGGGGTGCGAATGCCGGGTGCATAAGTAAGAGGCCGACACGTGAGACGTGATGCTGAACCACAATCACGCCCATCTTGTGCCTGATTAGGCTCTATGTAAAAATATAGGTCTAGCCACTATATGCCCTATAAAACACCTCATATGCCCACGTGGAAAAAAGTCCTTTACTTTTACAAGGTTCCTGAGACCCTGACTTGGTATATTATTTCCATTTAACCTATCCTTGTCATTTATGACTATGCCCCAGACATTCAACCGCCAATCTTTGATTAACAGTTACTGACTAATTTCTCTGATTGTGTCAGGGACTGTGGACCTCTTGAGGACTCTCTCTCAAATCATTTAAACACTCAGAAGTAGTCCTCAGTCCAGTGATTCCCAAACTATACGCCCGCAGCACCCCGGGGAGCCGCGACCTCTTTCAAAGGGGTGCGCACCACGAAAATTTTGTAAAAAGTCTCATTAATTAATGTAACCAAATACAATGAATAGTCATACTTTTACGTTCAAGGTTAAGGGCGACCTTTAATTGTAAAACTGGGCGCCGCGGACAAAGACAAGTTTGAGGAAACACTGATATAGTACAATTCATTTGAATCTGTTTAAGAAAACGACGGGAAAAATGGACACGTTGTTAAAGCAGAAAAGCAGAGTGACTATTAAAATGCCAGAATTAATTGCGCACATTTTAATACGGTAGAAAGTTCTTCTTACATATTTAGCTGGGTGCTGTGTTTTAATTTAGGCTCCTTGCTTACCCTATCACCATTAATGAACTAACCCAGTCTAGTCTACTTTTATCTGTAACTTTCACCACCGCCCTTCTGTTACCACTGACCCGCTCAAAGCAAGGTTTCAGCGACGATCCTTCTGCTGCCGCACATAAGACAGTTGTGGGCTTTGACATATTCAACTGCACATTTCTAATCCTGGTTCAGTCGTGGTTGCAGAGATGAGTTTTTTTCCGCCCTGCTCGTAGTCCTTTGAGGTATTACAGTGTTCATGCACATATGGATGACTGCGATTTTTTTGCTCGATATGGCGGCACGCCTAGCGCTTAGCCCACTCCCAAATATTGCCCCTCCCCCGCCATTTAAATAATTTGTCAGAAGGCCACCCCCCCCCCACCACACTAAAAACTGTTTACAGAAGCCCTACCC